TTAGTTCCCGTTGCTTGTTAGTTCCCGTTGCTTTTTAGTATCTGTTGCTTGTTAGTATGTTGCTTCTGTTGCTTCCTGTTGCCAACTCTTCTTCTTATTCTTCGGCATCTTCATAATCATCGTCATCTTCACTATATTCTTCTTCTTCATACTCTTCATTTTCTTCATATTCTACTTCTTCTTCCTTTACTTCTACTTCTTCTTCCTTTACTTCTACTTCTTCTTCTTCTTCATAATCTTCATCTTCTTCATATTCTACTTCTTCTTCCTTTACTTCTACTTCTTCTTCTTCTTCATAATCTTCATCATAATCTTTACGATATTCATAAGTACTATAATGATAAGCGTGATATTCGTCTTCTTCATTTTCTTCATATTCTTCTTCTTCTTCCTTTACTTCTACTTCTTCTTCTTCTTCATAATCTTCATCTTCTCCTTCTTCTTCTTCTTCTTCCTTCACTTCTACTTCTTCTTCTTCTTCATAATCTTCGTCATATTCTTTAACATATGCAAATGTATCAATATGATACTTTTCATATTCTTCATATTCTTCATATTCTTCATCTTCTAATTCTTCTTCTTTTACTACTATTTCTTCTTCTTCTTCTTCTTCTCCTTCTTCTTCTTCTATTTCTTCTTCTTCTTCTTCTTCCTTCACTTCTTCTTCTTCTTCTTCTTCTTCTTCTTCTTCCTTCACTTCTACTTCTTCTTCTTCTTCTTCTTCCTTCACTTCTACTTCTTCTTCTTCTTCTTCTTCCTTCACTTCTACTTCTTCTTCTTCTTCTTCTTCTTCCTTCACTTCTACTTCTTCTTCTTCCTTCACTACTACTTCGTCTTCTTCTTCTTCTTCCTTCACTACTACTTCGTCTTCTTCTTCTTCTTCCTTCACTACTACTTCGTCTTCGTCTTCTTCTTCTTCCTTCACTACTACTTCGTCTTCTTCTTCTTCTTCTTCTTCTTCTTCTTCTTCTTCTTCTTCTTCTTCTTCTTCTTCGTCTTCTTCTTCTTCTTCTTCATCATCATCATCATCATCTTCTTCATCTTCATCATCCTCTTCATCATCTTCATAATCACCATCTTCTTCATCTCTTCTTCTCTCTTCTTCTCTTCTTCTTTCTTCTTCTCTTCTTCTTTCGTCTCTTTCTGCTTGTCTTCTTCTTCTTTCTGCTCTTCTTACTCTTTCTACATATCTTCTTTCTGCTCTTCTTCTTCTTTCCGCTTCTTTTGCATCAATGTCTCTTCTTCTTATTCCTGCTTCTTCAATTCTCATTTTCTTTTGCTTGATAAAATGAGCTGGAGCTTTGTGCTCCAGCTCATTTTCTTTCTCCAATCGTCGCTTAAGCCCCTTGGGCAGGTCTGGTGCTATAGGTATATTATTGATTAATATTATATTCTTTATCTACTATTATATAGAGACATTACTTACCAATCATTCTCACTTGTTTGATCTTTCGACCAAAAACTTTGACTAGATTAGTTTTGGCTAATCTAACTAGAATTGTATGTCTCAACAGCTTTGGGACATGCTTGTGAATGGCCTTTGGGCCAAACACAAGTGAGCTGTTGGACGAAACTTTTTTTCGGGTGCTGATGCTGCTGATGCTGCTGCTGCTGGTGGTGTTGCTGTACATTGGAGTAAACTAATGAAAAAGCGCAAAGAAGAAAAATAATACCATGAGAGTGTTTCTTTTTTTTAAAACGCGTTATAATCTTTGGGCCACACATTTTGAGACGCGTTCTTTTTTTTTTTATTTTGACATGAGCCAATCATTTGCAATTTTGAATACACGTGTCTTGAACAGAGTACTTGAGTGGGGGCAAAGTGAATAGTAAGAGACTTTATTATTAGGAAGAGCTTTCGAGCTGTATAGTGTCTAGAGTCGGATTACTGACCTCTTTACAGCCAACTACTATTACTTTTTATTTTTCTCCCTCGTTCTACAAGTTTCAATCTCCTAATGTCGCTGCTTTTCTCTTCCAAATGGCGATGGTCACCAAATACACCCGCCGTCTCAAGTTCCCAAAATCAAGATAAAAACAATCATAATTGCTTGAATACTCCTTCGAATAAGTTTATTCAGGTTCAAGGTTCAAGGTGCATACACATAAACCATTTGTAAAAATTCTTATTCCATTCACGTAAACTGATTAAGAGTTTAGATTTTAATCTATAAAGAGTATATAGCTGAGATTTACTAATTAGCTAATAATAATATATCATTTCTCAAAAGCACTATTGATAGTTTCCTTTTTTTTTGTCGGTGCTGTTTATTGATTAATCCGCCAGATTTTACCGTACGGCTATTTAAAATAAATTATGCAGTTTTTCGTATACACACACTGAGGTACACTGAGGTATTCGGGATTATTATTGAGCTAGTATCTCAATATAGGAAAAAGTAGATGTTTTGAAAGCTTTGTTTATTAAAGCGAGTCAGAGTAATATTACTTATATTTGATACTATTAAAATCCATGTAAATCAAAACCCTGTTGTGTAATGGTTGGTTTGCACTGTACGAGTGTGTAGTGTACGTGTGCCTGGTGCGTAACAGCTCCGGAGATTGTTAACTTGTCAGGTTCATCAGCAAGAAGTAACCAGTGTTTGGTCGTCGAGTATGCACTTCACTCAATTACGGTGTGTATACTACAGTGTCAAATAGTGCAGAGGCATGGTAGTAGAGGGTGATTTGGAATGAGAGGGTATTGAGGATAGTTCGATACCATATATTATCAGATGAGTGAGGGATAGGAAATGACCAAAAGGTGCACCATTGTCGTGGGGTGAGTGGCAAAGAAGCAAGTTAGAGCTTTGAATGGGTTGCGGCATATAGCACAAAAACTATGGGTACCAAGAGTACTAAATAGGGCATATTTTGGATTAAGAGCAGCAACAAATAAAGAACAGGTGAAAGCCAGTGGTTTTGTGGGCAAGTAGAGAGAGGGATGTTAAAGGGGGGATAAGGGTGGCTCTTTCAGTAGAAAAATAGCAAAACAGTTTGGAAATGAGGTATGGAGATGAATTCCTTTCGTTGGGTGATCGAGGACGGACGGCCTCTAACTCCTCATCATATATAAACGTATCAGACGCTAAAATCCTCCGCCAACTTGTTGTAGTACGTCCAGAAGGATCCGAAAAAGTAATCATATTCAATGTTTGTCAAGAGAGAAAAATAAAGTAGCCGACAGTGACAAAAGAGAAGTTGCGCGGAATGGGCTTCATTGTGGACAGAACAAAAAATGATGGTGTCGCAGACGTGGAAACAACAAAGGTGGTCGAATATCGCCGTGTGTTTGGGCAGGATGAAGACTGTGTTGTATCCGTGGAGTGAAAAAGGAGCAACACGCTGGTGGATATATAGAGGGCTTTAACCATCGCATGGTAAAGGCCTTTTGTTGGAATTTGGAATTGAGGATTTAATATACCCAATTCGTCTTGTGTCCAAGGAAAACAGAGAGAGGCTAGACTAGCCATGGGTAAAATTTTCTGGTGAAGGAACTGACGCATAATAGACCCAAGTTTATCAAAGAACTTGATATGAGCAATAGTGACATGAAGAACACGCTGCATGCGAGAGAGAATCAGTGTGATAAGAAATGTGGAACGACCAAGTAGTAATAGTGAGGGCTGTGAGTAAATATGACATGCAGATTCAACAAATTGCATGAGTGACTAATAGAACTAGTCTCGTTAAGCTAGAAACAAGATTAAAGGAGACGCTAGGTATGCCAGGACAGATCGTGAAGTGCGATAATGTCATGCAGTAATAGACTTGTCTGGAGAAGAGTTTGCGATTTGGTTGATGAGGCACCAGATAACGAAAAGGCCTGTATCTTACGTAGGTTTGTTTGTGCATGAGAGGCCCGAGAGTATGCGTCCAAGTGTTGGTATATAATAAAAAAAAACTGCAAGAATGTGAAGAAAAACCAAGAAATCATCAGAGTGGGCTAGTATTTTAACAGGTGGTGGTGTAGAGTTGTCAAAAGCGTCAATGTAGATACATGATCCATAAAACGAAGTGCCATGGATCAATCATCAGGGCAAGGGCTCAAAGGCGAGATGGAAGAGTGACAATGGATCTTCTTAGAAAAGTCCCTGTTGTTGCTCTATAGAAGGTGAAATAAATGCATTGTCATTAACAGATACGTCAATAGAGAAGAAAAGTTTGGAAATACAGTGGACAATGATACCAGGAAAGCAAAATCGTTCCAAAGCTCGCTTGAGATATTAAGGATGTACACTATTGTACGCTTTTGCCTGGTCAAGCAACAAACCAACGGAGTCAATGGAGGAGAGCTGTGTCTGTTCCATAGCTATGCGGCTCATAAGCCCATTATTGGTAATTAACTGCCTTTTAAAAAGGCCAGTCTGGTATTGCTTAACCAGTGACTTGGAGGCGGGTGTGCTACGTAAATTTAGCAAACGGGCGAAGGCTTTGATATCAGTTTTGATTAATGAAATAGGTTTCCAGTTGTTTAAAGTAGAAAGGTCGGCTTTTATAGGTAGCAAGTATAAACAAGTAGAGCTCCAAGATGGGGGAAATATGCCATGTAAAAGAGCACGACTATAGATAGTCGTGTACATGTCGGAGTATACATCCTCAGTTAACACTAATAACAGAAACTCGTACGGAAGGCCATCAGAGCGAAGAATACTTTTGCGGGGAGATCTATCAGAAGCAGAGCAAATTTAGTCAAAGATGAAGGAGGAAGTCATGGATGACCGTACAATTTAATTAAGATAGACATGTTCAGGAACATTGTGGAGAAAATCGTCAATGGTCGAGTGATCGGTAGGATCAGCGGTATAAAGATCCCCATAGAATGCACTGGCAGCGTCGGCCTTAGTACTAGGCGTACTGCAGGTCGCATTTGAAACAGAGTGGCGTAAAAAAGGAATATGTTTTTGCGCTGTCTTAGTCGCAACAGGTCTCTTGAGGCATCCTGCAGAATGTTCTTCATTTTATCTCTAATATTTCTGTGCTCTAAGAACAAGGATCTTTACATGCTCTTGCTTTATGAGAGCAAACTTACGTTCGACAACAACAAGCTGTGTATCTCGGATATGGTAGATCTTGTATTTACTCATAAGTCGATCGAGTTTGCTTTTCATTGCCTTTTCTTATGCAGCACGCCAAGCGGTAGATACCCGAGAAAATGTTTTAGCAACCTGGCGAAGAATGGCCTTGGCTTTTTTGCATCTATCTTAAGGGTAAGGTAATTGAGTCAAACTGGGCAAGATACCTTGTAAAGACACAGAGAAGCGTTCTTGGAAATATGAGGGTATTTTCAGTCGAGAGTCAGCACGCCATAAACCTCTTTCGGTATGAGCTGTACCGAAAGATAGAGTAATCGTAGTAAGAAAATAATCAGCTCATATAGGATTGTCGTAATCTACGGAAGGCTCGTATTTGAGGCCGGCTAGACCTGGTGTTGCAAAGTTGTTGTTGATACTACTCATTTGCATTCTTCAGCAGAATTTTGGAATAGGGAGCTTGACCTTCATCAGTGACACAATCAATTGAGGTTTCTTGAACGTGGTGCAACCACGGTAGAGATGTATGACAAGGGTGTGAAGAAGTAGAGGTGTAAGTATAGTAGAAATGTTTAAGGACGAGGAAACGAGATGAAGGGGCAGGTTGGCCAAATTGTGTCAATTGAAGAATAGAAGTGAAAAAGGCTCGGGGTCGTGATACTGTTGCAGGAGCATATATGACAGCAATCTTTATAGAGCCAAAATGGTAATGTATATAACGGATAGTAGCAAAAGTAACTCTACCACATATACTATAGTAGGATTAAAAGAAGAAGAAGAAATAGAGGACGAGAAGAAAACAAAACCGTAGTGTTATGTCCATTGGCTCTCGTTTGCTCGAAATTGTTTATAAGAAGTTTCTTGAAGTTTTGGGTTGTTTGTGTGCGTTTCCTGGATTGCAAGTACTTGAATATATTTTGAGCGTAGGTTTCAAATAAAGTAATTACGTTGTTGAGGGTTAAAGGTCTCGGTAAGCCACCGATAGTTGGTTTTTGCTATTTTAAATGTACTCATCATATTATTATAATGTGAGGGTTCTATTGCGTTTTGCGCTGTCTGGTAAAATGAATCTCTTGGCTTCATTACGTAAAATTCTCCTTTTAATTTGTTTCTTGGGTTTATTAGGTACATTAGTCTGATTTTTGTTTTTGGTCTCGTCAGTGTCGCTCATGTGTGCGTCAGATAAGGCATCTTTATCCTCAGATTCGGGGGATACCACTGTCTTCGCTTAAAGTCCTGGAGACCTGTGCAGCTTCGGCTTCACATTCGCTGTTTGCCAAATTGGCCACACACGCTTCTACAGTGGTTTGATTGCCTGCAGAAATATTTTCTGCCTCTGGCTGTTTTAGAGTCCTGGCCGTTTTCAAAGCCACCTGCTATGCTTGCTGTAGAGGGTGTATCGGTATATAAATGCGATGGAGGGCTGCCAAGCTCGGGGCCTTATCTCCTTTCCGGAGCTTCTGGCATGCATTTATGGGAGGGTCTCCGGGGCAGTGAGCCTGAATATATCCCTTTACCCCACAGATATGGCAGGTACGTTTGTCTTTGCGTCACTCAGGACAGTTATCCACAGAGTGAAGAATATTTTTACGGAAATTAATATAACCGACAGAACTTAATATCAGTTAAACTTTTTTTTTGATATTAGTACCCTCGAGTGATTGCACTCACAGGACAGGGCACACACATTCTGGTAAGATAATCCACATAACCGTACCCAGGCCACAGCACCACATCAAAAGGACAAATCTTTGCATACTTTCACTGCTCACGAATTTGACAAGAATATAATCGTGGATCTTACATTCGCTGCATGGGCTAGTGCCATCAATCCGACGACTGTCTTGTTTAACATCGAAAAAAGCATTCCTGAAAGATAAATGGATCATGTTCTATCAAACGGTGTAGGTGTGCAGATACTGCTGGAAGAAAAAACACTACCAGCGCACCTCTTTGCAAAACGTGCAGCGTCTTTGGCCATGCAATTAAAAGTCGTGAATGCCCCGCTGATCCAGATAACATGAAGCAGAG